CTAGCTGTCTTCCCTCTAGTCTTACACTGCTAAATTAGGGACGTGTAGCTTTGCGCGAAATCCATAACAAACAAATAAACTGATGGTTACGAAGATAACCTATTTAATATACGAGTGCGCGATTTAGTATAATAATTCAATAAAACATAAAATGACCCATTTGAAACATGCAGAGATGATTTAAATCTGATCATTAAATAGATTATCTACTTAACCACTAATCAGCACGAAAGTTTCGTTAATTATAAATACTAGCAGAAACGCCGTCCTAAGGGAGAGCCGTCTGTGCTAGTACTAATCGTTGTATTCATACCTTATTGAAAAATATTGAGAAAAAGTGAACATTTTCTAAGAAAGGATTTTTCTGGTAAGTACTGCAAGGGAAGAGTGTTCGGACTGTGCTGATGTAAACTGTCATGTTTTTATATATTAAAAGTGTTACCCTTTATTGAATTTTTTTTAAGAAATCCATTTTTTAGTACTGTATTTACAAATAAAGTCAATAAAGATATAATCAAACCCTCACGTACAGTCCTGATGAAAGTCATGTTCTTGTTGTGAGGAGAGTACTTTTATCTAAAATTGTGTTCTATGATAAAGAAGTCGTTGTTGCACATATCGTAGTTATTTTTTCTAATTGTTTGAATACCCAAAGTGTGAAATTCTTTTATGTATGTTTGTTTCTGGCGCCATTCAGTAAATGGCGCCACATTGTATTTATTGTTTCGGACACGTACATTCATAAATACATACACGCTACGTCCATTATAATGAGATTGCGTAAAACTGTTTAAAATACAATTTTATACAATTGCAGGTCTTCGTATCTTAACTCACTTATGCATTAGAAATAATAATTTGTTGTTAAATTATTAAATACGTTTACAATGGTCATTAAACTAGTTTAAACTACGCTGCTGTAATCCTGTTTTAAACTAAACACGATAAATAAAAAATTGAGAATTTGAAAACCTGCAAATAGAGATCGAAAAAAATTAAGGAAACAATGCTGGAGATAGTGTATATATTATTTACTCAAACTACAAATCGCTATTTTGATTCCACCAAATGTAATTCTAGGTAACAGCATGTAGTCAGAATAGGGGTTTGTAGTTTGATTAAATAATTTCTACAGTATCTCCAGCCTTGTTTGCTTACTTTTTTTTTTTACGATCCCTATTTGTGGGTTTTTAAATTCCCAATTTTTTATTTATTTTGTCTGCTGGCTTTTTTTATGCTATGGGTAAAGGATTACTTGATATGGTAGCTAACTTTATATGGTTCATGATGATTTACTGCAGCTGTTGACTATTTGATCGCATTAGTTCGTGATGCAAAATGTTAAGCTGCAGCTGGTGATTGTCATGGAGATTTGTTTGAAAATATAGCGGTATCTGTAGTTTCTGTGTAATTAAATTCTCTATATATAATGCATAGCAATGGACAAATAAATGCCTAGACTATGACACAACCCCCAGTAAGTGCGTATAAAACTTTACCAGTAAAAAAGCAGCCCATTTCAAATAAAACATATACATCTAAAACATCGCTTTAAATAAACCTTCGTGTCTTTTAAAGTAATTACTCTACGAATGTATGTAATAAAATTTAATATTATGTGTATTTATTTATTTTTACTCCTTCACTTCACACATAATATAGTGGTTGCATTGAGTATGTACATGTTACAGTCATCTAATGTTGATCTTTTATTGGCCGTTTCACCCTGTACTTAATCTTTTAAAGGGAACACGAGATATGTGTAAGAAAGCTAACTTCAAAGTTTACACTAAAATTATAATATTTTTAGCTTCTGTACAATATAGAATAAACAATTCAACTTTTAATATACCCTACGACCTTCGCAGTACCTTATTTAGTATTCTACAAAAAGTTTGGGTGCAATATACCAAGCCTTTATTTATTTATTTTTTTGGAGTAGGCCAGGAAGATAATAATATGAATTAGAAACGAGCAGTTTTGAGCGGATTTTCTTTTCCTCCTAAATCTAACATGTGTGCTTTTTTGTGCATTTTTATATGTGTATAGTCTTAGCAGTTAATAATAAAGGTATCAAAGTTTTGTTTTAATCGAATCTCTACTGCTTTTTGCCCGAATGTTCTATTTGGGTTTTGTACAATTTCTTGCGATCCTCATTATGAACCACTATATATTTGCAGCGCCATGTTTTAGAAGCTTGAAATAAGAATAGGAAAATCGTGTTTGAAATATACAAGAAAACATTTTAAGAAAAAAAGGAATAAAACTAAACTTTTGACTGAATGCAGTAACTAAACCGTAATGAAAAGAGAACGATGCGTCGGCTTCTGTACTTCTTCAGGTCTTAACTGAAGGGCCTCAGTATAGAATCCGACACGACACGTCGTCCCCTTTTCATTGAACAGACAGTTGTATTCCAAGAAGTTCTCAAACCTCAAACAACAGGATGGAATATCTTTCGTAAGTTACCTCACATACCGAGACTTTCTGTTAAGAATTATTTTAATATTTACCGGTTATTCACAGAATAGGGGTCAGTAATAAATCGCTTACGTGTTGTTGTTTTTTTACCGAAAACAACAACAACAACAACCAAATATATCCATTGTATAACTTTAATTTTGTATTATTATATTATTATATTAGTTTTCCTCCAGAAACAAG